CCAATTCTCGGGCGTAGAACTTCTGTGGGCTATCGACTTATTGGCCAAGTGATTTTCAGCGGCTCTTCAGTCGGCCAATTCTTTATCAGCAATGGAGTTTTGTATCGGAATCGAGCAAACCACTCCTGGGTACGGCGTTCACTCAAAGCATTCTCACAGCACACCTCACAAATTCTTAGGTATGTCTTTATTCTATAAACAAAGGCATTTCACTCAATTTCAAATCAATATAACTTTTTGCACGAGCGACGAATCACAGAACAGTTTTCTCTAAAAAATTGGCCTGAAATTTCGCCTTTCAAACGCTTTCAATGGCCAAAGCCGCTTTCGACTTAGGGAGAAGCTTACGTTTGTTAGGCAACTCGAGAGTAGAATCAGTGGAGTACATTCGACCACTTCTAAAATAATTCTTAGAGCTTTGTTTAGTATTGTTTATTAATGTGAATTTTTTGCTGAAGATAAATTTGCTGCAGCTGATTCTGAAAAGAAGAAGTATTAGTCAATTACGGACACGGCAGAACTTCATGAAAGGATCGGTGGAGGTCTTATGTTGAATATTCACTATGGATCTCTAATTCATGCTTCCAGGTCAATGTTCTTTATCATACAGAAGCAACGCTTAAACAACTGTTCTAGCCGAAAGGTGGCAATGAGTACCTTAAGACCCAACCGCTGGGGCCATAACTACCATAGCCATAAACATAACTATAGCAATCAGCTTTTCTGATCAAACGTATGGGCAGCTCTGAAAAGATTATTGGTTCTATACCATAAGGCCATAACCATAATTCTAGGTATCAATTTAGTTATGATTCTTCGCCATATCATAGGCAGCTCGAAATTATTTGAAAAAGTTAAGGCTATGGCATCTCCAATGTATCTTTATGTGTGCTCACATTTGGCTGTCAAATATTTTAGCTAGCTTTCGATTTCGTCGGAATACTTTCTAATTATGTTGATATAGGTAGCAGGCCAAAGCGACATTGCACGGAACATTGAGTTGTTAACCCTTAACTTATTTTCACTGAGCAAGGAGAGTATGGAAGCACCATTGACTAATTGTTGAATACTCTGCGCCAGAAGTCAGCTGGAAAGGCTTTTGCTCAAAACAAAATTTCAAGTTTTTCCCTAAAATACACTTTCTCCAAGGGTGTTCCCATCCTTTCCCACAGCCGTAGACGATGAGAGTAATCTCTGAGGCTCAGGGCCGCTAATGTTAGTAGTCACAAGTTACTTTGTTACTTTCCGACATGTTTAAACACATTGTCACACTTTAAGCTCGTTAAGGTTTAAAAATATTGGTTTGTAATTTCTAAATAACTCGTGAAAAGCTGTGGATCAGATCTGCGAAACTTCCTTAACACGGAATAATTTAATTAAAAAACAATTTTTTTCCTGTGAATTTCCTTATTAAATTGATATAAAAAAAAAAAATTTCACTTAAATTGCTTATATGAAACTGGCTATAAGTAACTGAAACAGTTTGATTTTATTGATATGTTGTTATGATATGTTAACACTTTCATTTTAAATGACACTTTGATTTAATTATTCAGCACCAATCCGCCAGGTCGTATACGTAAAGTGCGTACCATCGAATTTTAGCAGCAAGAATCGCAAATCTTTACCTTAACAGCTTTCGTTAAGCTTAGTATGTACATACATATGTATGTCGCCCAAAATCTCTCTCGCTTCTGGCAAAGGTTTTAGACTTACCAGTGTCTTCTCGTCTCATTCAAAGAACCTTAAGAAACTTATTTGCCTTCGATTTCGGGTCTGAAAATTTAGATCAGGTGAATCTAGGCACGAACCCTTTGGGGAAAGCTAGGGGAAAGTTGATTTAAATATTTACATGTTAATATGAGACTGTGTCAAATAAAACAACATTTTTTTTCTATCGGTGCAATACGGTATTTTGTTGTCGGTCACAAAAGCAGCTGTGGCAGAATTTCTCGCTCGCAAAAATAAAAATTTTAAATTATAATTTTTTTTTGTTGCTATTTAAATTTTAGTACAAAAGTAAGTGCAAGTTTTAAGTAGCTAGGACTTCCCGTTGATTTTTGACATTTTTTTTTTTTTGTTGACGGTGTCAGTTTTCTTCCATACAAAGTGTGTTCGACGATTGGCTTTCAGTGCCGCAGGTAGATTATCGCTAAACTGGTAAACTCGTATCAAAAGTGGTACACTACTTTTATGTTAATATAAATTTTAGATCATCAAGACAGCTGCTTTATTCACATTTACATATAAGAATCATTTCGTATAAAAACGTCTGAAAACAAAAAAAAAATCGTCGCTAACGGATTTCAAATTTTTCTGTAACTTTGAGGGACAAACTACAGATTCCGTCTAGTAGACCCTAAAGAAGAGTCCCTCTAAGTTACAGTAAAATCTTAAATCGGTCTGCGACTCCAATTAGACGATTTCATATGGAAAGACCCATAAGTAAATATTTAAAGAAAAAAAAATATTCAATGTAATATATATATTTTTTTAAATAAACAGCTGAGCTAAACATTCTTCTGTTATTAAAGTGCCTAGAAATTATAATGTTTTTCGAAGACGCTTCCGCGCTAGGAGAAAAGCCTGCATAATATGTGCCGTTGAATAGTAAATGGGGGAAATAAAGTCAACGAAGCAGCTTCAGCAACAAAAGCAACGGCAAATGTCTGTTTTGTTGGGGAAAATGAATGATTTTTTGTGTGACTTATTTACTTTCTTGTTGCATTTTTTTTTTTGTAGATATTTATTTACATATGCATGTACGTTATGAACTTGTCTTTTTTCGGACATTTTTGTTGTTGCTGCTGTTGTCGTAGTACTACTGCCACTTGAGTTTCGCTAGTACAAGAAATATAATGAAATTTCACGCTCGTATTTTATGTGCAGTTTCCACGAGAGACAGAGATAGAGAGAGAGAGAGCCGTAAAACGTCTACATTTTTGTCGTACAAGAGCGAAAAAAGAGTGTTAGGCAGACATAACTTGAGCGAGTATTTTAAGAACAAGAGTATTTTTTAATGTCATCTCCAGCATCACAAATCGCCGCTACTGCTGCTACTATTCGGAAATTGATTGTATACTCGTTTAAAAATACTATGACTGTTCTAGCGCCTTAAAGTGGGCCTTTAAATATTAGTTGTTTATGCGCAGAATGTTCTCGTTGTTGTTCTTGTTGTTACTGTTACCCTTGCGGCAATGCAGCAGCCCGGAAACTATGCGAGTGCAATGAAAAAGCTAAATCGTTGGTAAGCCGATGCTTACTATTATTTTTTTGTTCTTTGCTTTTTATTTAATTTTTTTTTGTTTCGCTTTTACTCATACAGCAATCAATGAGCGAATGAATGCTGCACGAATGCCACAGCAAAACAATAGTAAAAACAACAACAAGAACAGCAAGTGCATGCAATAGTGACAACTATTACGAGACTATAACGACTAACGACTACGATGCTTTGGCCATTACGACCACTGTAACGCCACCAGTAATGGCAATGGCAACGGCAACGGCAACGACCAGCTCAACGATGGCAACAACGACCGCGCCGACACACGACAACAACTGCACAAACAAACGCAATATTTGTACATCCATGTAGGCACGAAGGACTACGACAATGATGGCGTTGCAGCTATGAAAAAAATATTAAATGAGAAAAAACAGCGCAGACCTGTCTGCGAATTTCGAATTTCCTTTTATGCTTACAATAGTGTAGGTTTTTTGATTTTTTGTTTTTTTTTTTGTAACTGTTGTGCTGCTGTGCTACTGTAGCGGTACTTTGCTGACAGCCCCAGTAGCTAACTCCGGTTATGAGCAGGCCGTATGCAGAGTTTGTGTCAGTGGATATAATTGTCATATATGTATGTCTTTTCAAGCATTTTAATAGCAATTTTTAAATTTTCTATATTAATTTTAAAGCTTCTTGAAGTTAAAAAGATGCTTCAACATAAGGTATTGGAAGCTAAAGCAAAAGTTGCTCATACGCCAGGGCATATGCACAACCATATTCAATTTAAATCACCAGAATACTGCAAACAATACCTACAGCATCCACAGGAGGTTGCATTACCCAAATAAGCGCATATTTTGTGTCATAATTTACTTCTTACTTAGATTCTTTAAGTTGCTGCGCGTACACTGACATACACACACACACACACACGTAAACGCAACCAGCAACAAACACCGTTAAATCGACCGGCTGGCTGGCTGTCTTATGGCAACGCACACACACAAATGCAGGCACAATGACCCGACATATTCGAACGTTGACTTATTTCTGTTCGATTGTCAACGTGCTGCGGCACAGCTTTTTATGATGATCATAATTATTTAGTAATTGTTGTTGCTATTGCAATTTCCAGCCACCTATCTCGCTGCAACTGCAACTGCAACAACATCGGCAATGGCATCAGCGTCGGCATATACTGCACACACTCTACATACATACAATTCATCGTCATTCATTTGCATTAAAACATCGTTCCGATTGCCGATGTCATAAACTCAAGTTGACGCTGCTGCTGCTGCTGCTTTCCCATTTCCTGTCATTCTGCTATTTTCTGTATTGCACTTTGTAAGCATTTACAATATCCGCTCTTGACACGAGCACAAATTTTCGAATTAGCGACTCGTGCTCGTAGTAGTGCTTGTGCGCTCTTGGTGTTACGCCGAGTGCTCACAATTGAGTATTGTCCTCGAAAATTGCTTCTCTATTGCCTTGCTCTGTTAAACGCCTAAAAGCATGCTCTTTCTCTTCCGTCTTTTGCTCTCTTTAAATTAATTGCCTTTGGATTTTATAACAGTTACGCCGTGTGCAGCGTAGACACGAGAAATGCGGTGAATGCGTTACGGTGCGTTTAATGCAAGCAGATCAAAAAACGCACAGATATGTTGGCAAATGCAGATGCCCAACGTAGGCACGATTTTGCGATAATGCGTGCATTGTGACGTCAAAGTCGTTTGATTTTGCCCGCAGTATCGTACGAGAAATTCAGCAATGAAGATGGAAATTCTCATTTCAGAAATACGAAAGCGAAGTGTTTTGTGGAATAAAAGCCATTGTCGCTACAAAGACAGGCGAAGTGCAGAAAAGGAATGGAACGAAGTTGCTAAAAATGTTGGGGTTCCAAGTAGGTAAATAAATTTGAATTATTTTGTGTTGTTCATTGTAAACAATGTTGAATTCAAATTAAATAATATTTAATTTTTATATTTTATTTACTGAAAAGTGGTGGCCAAATATAGAACGTTTAATTTCTGCTTCCCGTGGTGGGTGATTATTTTTTCCGGAAGCTCCTAAGTTGCGGTTTTTTATTCCTAAATTTTGAATTTTGTTCAAAATTATTGTGAAAATCGTCTTCCTTTTCCGTATCAATTACAATGTTGCGTAGAAGGCAAACGGCTTTTACTATATGAACAGCATTCAGAACAATAGTTTCAATTGCTTTCAATAAAATTTTAAATGTGCCACTCGGTATAGCGCACTAGGGTGGGAATTTGATGATTTTTCTGTATCGAAAATATATACCCCTATTTTTTATTTTGAAACTGAAAAATATTTAGAAGTCGCTCAAAGTTTTCCATGTATTTTTATATGGGAAAATAAATTTTTTCGTAGAGATGGTAAATAATTCAAAAGTCAATATTTTTCGATCGGAAAACTCCAAATCTTCAAGAGGCTTTCAATAATAATTCCCAATTGTTTATTTAAATATTTTTTAATACTAAAGATTTTTTTATTTAAATAAATAAATAAATATTTTTTAACACTAAAGATTTTTTTATTTAAATAAATAAATAAAAAAATCTTTAGTATTAAAAAATGTTTAAATAAACAATTGGGCATTATTATTGAAAGTCTCTCGAAGAACCAGAGTTTTCCGATCGAAAAATATTGACTTTTGAATTCTTTACCATCTCTTCGAAAAAATCTATTTTCCCATATAAAAATACATGGAAAACTTTGAGCATTTTCTGGGCTTTTGGCTGATCGGTAAAATGTAGTCACTATGAAAAAATGGCTAAATAAATAATTGGGTATCTTTTGAATAAAAACAGAGTTTTCCGATCAAAAACTTATGGTTTTCGAGAATTCTATACCGATACCTCCCAAACAATTGGGAAAATTTCACTTTTGAAAATAATCTTTTGACACCCTTTCAAAATGTTCGATGATTGGCACAGGCATATTACATATCTTTTGAATCGCTTCGCAAATGTCCTTGCAAGCTTCTTTAACTATAGAATCAACTGATGACTTCAATATCCTGAATGAGAAAACAATTTATCTAAATTTTTTATTTTTTTTCAGAGCAAGATGCTAAAAAGAAGTGGCGAAATTTGCGAGACCAGTTCAGTAAGGAATTAAAAAAAATTCCAAAAGGCAAATCGGGCGACACACAAGACCAAGCACTTATATATACTGGGAGGTGGCGTTATTTCAAAAGCCTGCTTTTCCTTAGAGATACAATTTTCCCAAGAGAAACAGCTAGAAATTTGTCGGTGATGCTTGAAGATTCAACTACTGCAACTGAAGCAGATAATAATGTGACAAATGCTGAAATAGTGGCAAAAAATACTAATGCAACTAAAACAGATAATGAATTGTCAAATTCCGAAGTAAAGAACTCCGAACTAACTTTCGTTGAAACATGCCCTTCATTCAGGTCTTTGTCTGTTCGTCGAAAGAGAAAGGACAATCATCAAGATGGAAAAGCCGTTGAGCTTAGGCTTTTAGATATCGAAACCAAAAAGCTAGCTTTACTCGAAGCATCAGAAGATGAAAATTCACTCTTTTTGAGGTCGCTTCTTCCATTCATGAAAAAATTGGATCCGATTCGTCAGCTTCGTGTAAGGTGTAAATTCCAAGATATATTGTTACAGGAAATTGAAGCTGAATGTACATTTCAAATTGTAAATGAACAAAAATAAACTTTACAAAAAAAAACTTTTATTATTTGTGTTTTAATTGCCACAAAGTTAGAAAAGTAATGTCAATAAACTGTTTTCGAATAAAAATATTTTAACTGCCGCATACGAAGCCATTTCACGCCGAATAATAAGTTATAACTACGGTGACCATCCGTTCTGTTTTTTGCAGGACCGTACTGTTTTTCAAAGGTCGGTCCTGCGTAGTTTTTCAAACCTAAAAACCTGATAATGTACTGATTTTTTCCAAGTGTCCTGCATTTGTCCCGCATTTTATTCGTTATTTTAAAATGATCGGACAATGGAAAAAAAGTGTTTTTTGGTACTTTTCGTAGCTTTTCTTCAATATCTCATGAAAAAATCTCCCAATCAACGTAAGCGACTTACAGCTCGAAGGGTATTGATGTGCCTCTTACCAAAATATATAACTTGTGGCGACTTCAATGAAAATTATTAGTGCTACTGGCGAAAAAAGTGAGATTTTCAATCAAATACGCAGTTTCATTTGTTTTTTTTCATTATTTAAAAAATTCGATAAAGAAGATATATCATTACAGTAAACTTTGAGCCAAAGATAATGAAAATCGGATTAGAAATGTAGATGCTATGGAGCGCAATCTGCACAAATTATATATTTTTGTAAAGGGCACTTTGTAACTCGTCGCTTACATCGATGCATGGCGTCGATTTTTGACAAATAACTGCGAAAAGTACCAAAAAAACAAAAAAAGAAGGGTATTATTGTTTTCGTTTTGAACGACTCAAAATTTGCCTATAAAATAATCTTTTAAAGATTTCCACTTTTTGTGTAAGCTATTGTAATTATAATATGTTTAACTATACTTTTATAAATATTCATGTAAAAAAGATTAATATCAATGAGGAAAACGTGATTCATTTTTAAAGTTTAAAATGTATTAAGAATTTAGAATCATAAATACTCTTTTGATATTTTTATACTACGTAAATTTATGTAGGCATATTTTTGAAAAAATTGTCCTTCATTTCGAATCCATATTTATGGTCACCGTAGTTATAACGCATAATCGCGTTGTAATTGTACACTTACAGCATTCCACGCACGATTTTGCGGGTAGTACGTTGCTCGCACGCATCGCAAAATCGTGCGGGTGTTTACGCTGGACACGGTGTTAGTGTGTATTTGCCGAAAGTTCTCCAAGCTCGTCATATACATACATACATACACACATAGATGTGAATAATGACGTCACACTATGTTGTTGCTTTTATTGTAGTTATATACATATGTACGTACTGAACATCTGAAATTGACATGAATGAAATTTACCAGAGCTTTTTCGTGTCATTGTTCAGTAAGTTTACGGCATATAATATGACGGAAATAATAAATTCTTCATTGCACGTTTTTTTTTTTGTTTACAGGAGGAATATTACGAGAAAAAATAATGAGTAATTTTTAAGCAAAAGGCAAAACCGACTTTAATTCCCATATGAAAATTTCAGAGTACCAGAATTATAGAAATCGGTTAACGAGGTCCAAAGTTATGCGGTAACATAAATAAAAAAAAAACAAAAACAAGTAAGAAAGTCTAACTTCGGGCGGAGCCGATTATTAAATACCCGGCGCAAGTATTAAATATATATTTTTTCACCTTTCCGAAAGCTACCGCTAGATGGTAAGACGGGGTGTATAAATTTTGAGTAAATTAGCGTCCTTAAATTTCGAAATATTCCAGTTTCAAGCATTTCTGAAATTTACCGTTATATGAAAAGCGGCCGTAATTTTAGTCCGATTTCAATAATTTTCAACGTTTTGCTTTTATGAGGCAAGGACAATAACCATACCGAGTTTGGTACAAATTGGTATAACGGTTACCGATATACATATATGTGATCATAAGCGGGCGGTGCTACGCCCATTTTCCAAAATTTTACCATAAACGTATTTCTTGGTAAAGAATTGTTGCAAGCATCAATTTTGAATAAATTAGCTTTAATATTTTCTGATTTATCGAAGATTTTGTATTTCTCTAAATTACCGTTATATGGGATGTGGGCGTAGTTATTGTCCGATATTTTAAATTTTCAGCCATTTAGTATGCTGTACCCAGGCCAACAACTGTGCCAAGTATTGAAGAAATTGGTGAAGCGGTTACCAAAAAAATACACATGTAACCATAAGTGGGCGTGGCTACGCCCATTTTCCAAAAATTTATAATATTCTTATTTTTCGTCTAAAAATTATTGTATCTATCAATTTTGAGTGAATAATCTTCAGTAGTTACTAAAATATCGCAGTTTCCGTATTTCTGGAAATTACCGTTATATGGGAAGTGGGCGTGGTTAAAGTCCGATTTCGCCCATTTTCAATACCAACCTACCTTGGATTAAGGGAAACCCACATACCAAATTTCGTTGAGATATCTCAATTTTTGCTCGAGTTATCGTGTACACGGACGGTCGGACAGACGGACAGACGGACGGACAGACAGACATGGCTTAATCGATTTCTTTTTTTATCCGGATCATTTATGTATACATTTGTCTATATCTATCTCGATTCGTTTTGGCTGTTACAAACAACAGTTATGTGAACAAAATTAATATACCCTTGTGCACAAGTGCGCTCGGGTATACAAATACTCCGACGAATTGGCCAGACACTATTTTTTAACATTTCATATAACTTGTCTATTAGTTAACTAAAATCGACTTCTAAAACATGTGGCAACCCTCTTCAAAAATATTTTGAAACTAAAATAATCTTTCGTTTGACATTGTGATACATATCTCTGATTATCTGATGAATAATGTTGAATGTGAAAAAAAAACATCGCCACTCTCCTCTATGTAAAGCCCAGAAATATCAATTCACCGTGGGAGGCTCTGAAAGCACATATATGCCATTGAATTGGTCGTCTACAATATGCCAGTTGTACTGTCCAGTTTTATTAGACCTACCTTCCAGTTACTGGGACTTTTTACTGGAATCAGTTAACGCCAGTGCACAGTGGGCCAGAAGACTGAAAACGTAGTCAAAAACTGATATTATTTAAAATTTTAAAATAATAAACTTAAGTAATGTAGATACTTTGAAGTATGCGAAAACAAAATTTTATGATATTTGAAACATTTTAATATGTTCGTAAGAAATTCAGAATTCATAAAATATGAAAAGCGTTTGTAAGCCCTAATTATGAAAAAAACTACATTTATTTAAATTATCAATAAGTCTTAGAAATATTACTGTAACAACCCACCCTGGCACCCTGTAGAACCCACTCAAAAAATCGACTTTTTCACTCTCTTGTTCCTGCGTGATCTCGTGTCTTTTTTTCATGCTATACACGGCGTATGGGTAATCTTCCTTTCTATTCATATATTTCACACAACTAAATAGGGCCATGAATCGCATGCAATTGCATGGTTTTATTGTGTTTCTTTAAATGGAAATTATTAAGTTATCTGCACGAATCATCAGATTTCCTTTAAAATGGCATTCAACCGTGAACGCATATTTTTGCATATTTTGTAAAAAGTTCCTGTTTTTACTTATTTTTTTGCGCATATTTTAAAATAAATGCATGTTGTTTATGCATATTTTAAACTTTGATTGATTTAAAACCATTTTAATTTAGTACGGCATTTTTTGACAAAAAAAAATTAGCTATAATTTTTTCCAAAAAAATCATCTGAACTGTATTAAACTGTCAATGTTTATATTTACACNAAAATATAATTTCAACTTCCATAATTTAATATTCAAGCAATTGCAAGTAAAAAAGCAACATCACCAATACGATTAGATAAAGCAGTTAATATCCCAGCATTATAAGATTTAACATTTTGAAAATAAATAACTAAACAATAAGAAATTAATCCTAACCCATCTCAACCTAATAAAATTCTAATTATATTTGGTCTAATAATTAATAACATTATAGATAATACAAATATAAAAACTAATATAATAAAACGATTTATATTAATATCACCACTTATATACTCTTTTCTATAATAAATTACCAAAGAAGCAATTAATAAAACAAAAGATATAAATAATAAACTTATTCAATCAAATAAAATAGTTATTACAATTCTAGAAGAATTTAATGAAATAAGTTCTCATTCCAAAAAAATACAATAATCTCTTAATAAAAATTTCAAACTAAAAATAAATAAATTAATTATAATTCTAAATAAAATTAAAAATCTAATTCTACAAATTGATAAATATTTTTTCACAATTTAAAATGACATAAATCATATCATTGACACCACAAATCAATATTTTAAATAAACTATTTAAATTTTAAAGTCAAATTATACAAATTTCACTTTTTAAAATTAATAAATTTAAAGGAAATCAATGAAGTATTAAAATGAAATATTCACGAATTTTACCTCCACTAAATGAATAAACTCCAGAAAATCCCTTTCCATGTTGTCTATATGCATACAAATATAAAGTATATGCAGCTCTAAAAAAAGATAATAAAGATAAAGAAATTATAGTTAATCATGATCAACTAATAATTCTATTTAATAAAGAAATTTCACCTAATAAATTTAATGAAGGTGGTGCAGCTATATTACATGAACTTAATAAAAATCATCATAAAGTTATTGAAGGTATAAAATTTAATAATCCCTTATTAATTAATAAACTTCGACTTCCTAATCGTTCATAAGTTATATTAGCTAAACAAAATAACCCCGATGAACATAACCCATGAGAAATTATCAAAGTATAAGACCCACATAAACCTCAATAACTTAAAGTTATAAGTCCACCTAAAACAATTCCTATATGAGCAACAGAAGAATATGCAATTAAAGCCTTTAAATCAGTTTGTCGTAAACAAACTAAACTAATTAATACCCCACCAATTAAACTAATTCTAATTCAAATATAATTATATTTTACATTTCTTAATTGTAAAAAACATAACACCCGTAATAAACCATAACCCCCCAATTTTAACATAATGCCAGCTAAAATTATAGACCCTGAAACCGGG